CTCTAGCTAGGACAGATTAGTGCTTTTACTTTTCTGACTTCTTAAGGTAGGCTCTGTTAACATGCTGTACGCCATGCCAAGAGTTGAGGGTCAGACCTTGGAATTGCCCTGCCACCACGTGGAGAGAGGGTTGAAAGCTGTAGTAAGAGAGGAGCCAGATTTCTTTTTGGGAAAGGAAAAGGTTCTCCTTGCCCTTCTCTCAGCCTTATCACATTAAAGGATTTTAAAAAAAATAATTGTTGCTATTCCTCATTAGGATTGGGATGCAGAGTAGGTGGAATACAAATCTATCCTTCTCCACTGCACACCAATTAAATTTCTTTGCCAAAATCCCATCAAGACTTTCTAGATTATAACACAGCTCCAGCATAACCAAAAAACCTCAAACTGCTAACTCTCTCTGCATCCATCCCTGTCCAAAAGAATAAATATGATATAAAAATCTATTAACAGACACATATTAAAATATATAGAACCCATGTTATACTAGGACATAGTAATTTAGCAAGGCTCAGTAACTTAATATCACAGATGAACCCATGAAACTAAAAGTATCTAAGGGAAACTTGCTCAGGCTGAAAGAGCCATAACAACAATTCACAAGGAGAGTCTTAAATTTTCAGAGGAAGAACTGTTAGCATTTGAAATAATCATAATGCAGCTCTTGTGCAAATTAGTAATTAAGGCAGTTAATTAGTGATACCAAGTAAAATAGTGACAAGTGATGATTTAAAATAATCTGAGTATAGAGCTCAAAAAGATAATACCATTTACAATTGCATCAAACAGAATAAAATATCTAGGAATAAATCTTACCAAGGAGGTGAAAGACCTATGCAATGAAAACTATAAGACATTATTGAAAGAAATCGATGATGACATAAAGAAATGGAAAGTCATCCCATGCACATGGATTGGAAGAATAAACATAGTTAAAATGTCTATATTACCTAAAGCAATCTACAGATTCAATGCAATCCCAATCAGAATCCCATGACAGTCTTCACGGAAATAGAAAAAAGAATACTAAAATTCATATGGGGCAACAAAAGACCCCAAATAGCTAAAGCATTCCTAAGACAAAAGAACAAAGCAGGAAGCATCACAATCCCTGACTTCAAAAGATACCACAAAGCAACAGTAATCAAAACAACATGGTACTGGTACAAAAACAGACACACAGATCAACGGAACAGAATTGAAAGCCAAGAAATAAAACCACACATACATGGACAGCTAATTTTCGAGAAAGGAGCTAAGAACATACAATGGAGAAAGGAAAGTCTCTTTAATAAATGGTATTGGGAAAACTGGACAGCCACATGCAAAAGAATGAAAGTGGACCATCTGCTATCACCATTCACAAATATTAACTCAAAATGGATCAAAGACCTGAAGGTGAGACCTGAAACTATCAAACTCATAGAAGAAAATATAGGCAACACACTATTTGACATTGGTCATAAAGGAATCTTTTCGGATGACGTGCCTACCCAGACTAGGGAAACTAAAGAAAAAATAAACAAGTGGGACTTTATCAGATTAAAGAGCTTCTACAAGACAAA